GTAGATTACGCCGTACAGAGGATATCACGTGTGATTTTGCGTACGTGGATTTTACAAGGTCATTTATTTCTCGTATTCCTCTTTAGCAAGAGGTTTCTTATCAAAACGTAACACGCCAAAGCGGCACGTGCGCCTCTCAAGATGCGTGAGCGACCTCAAAAGACGTACTTTATTTTTTTACTGCTGTGATACGCTATAAACTAGCTCATAGCAATAAAAACGCAGATTAGAATCTTAACAACACTATCATATTACTGAAATAATTATTTAATGAAAATTTGTCAACCAATCAGTTATATATTCACATGCATTCCAAAGCCAGAATGTATTTGATGCATTTGAATTTCTTGCAATTTACCTTTACGCACTCACGCGAACTATATCTTTCTCGCATCCGCTCATACTGACAAGAGGCGAGGGTGAGGGTGAGGGTGAGGGGGGATGGGAAGCAGCCTTTGATCGCGCCGCTTCCTGTTGGCTAATAAACCGCGCGCACGTGCTGCTCGCCGGCGAAGGACTGGCGCGGGGCTGCTAATTATGAGCTCCAGACGCAGCCGCCAGAGGAATGGGGCGACGAGGCAGCTCCGGAGGCGTGGCTGTGGCTTCATGGAGAAGAAGGTGGTGGTGGTGGTGGTTGTGGTCGGGGTTGTGGTCGGGGTTGTGGTGGTGGTCGTGGTTGTGGTGGTGGTCGTGGTTGTGGTGGTGGTCGTGGTTGTGGTTGGGTGGTATTCGTGGTCGTGTCGTGGTCGTGGTCGTTGGTAGTGGTAGTGGTAGTGGTGTGGTAGTGGTAGTGGTAGTTGGTAGTGGTAGGTGGTAGTGGTAGTGATAGTGATAGTGATATGTAGTGGAGTGGTGGTGGTAGTGGTGGTGGTAGTGGTGTTGGTAATGGTGGTGGTTGTGGTGGTGGTGGTAGTGGTGGATGCAGTGGCAGTGGTGTGGCGGTGGTGTGGGCGGTGGTTGTGCGGTGGTGTGGCGGTGGTGTGGCGGTGGTGTGGCGGTTGTGGTTGTGTTGGTTGGTGGCGGTGGTTGTGGCGGTTTGGGTGTGATGGTTATTGTTGGTGTGTTGTGGACAGAAAACATAGAATTGTTTTGCGTAAGCATATGCACAAATAATGAAATGAATAAATGAGATAGATGAGCAGCCAACGAAAACATTAAACAGCTGGAGATATGGGGGAAAAATAGTATGGAAATAGTCAATGCGAACTAACTCTAGGAACAAGGTGCGGGCCACAGGAGGAAGCAGCGATGGGGGGTGGAGTTGGAGAGCCAGTAGGCGGAGGGGAGGTAGCTACAACTCCGCACTTTATCCGTGTGCGGCGCCGCATACTTCGGAGAACTTGTTCCGGCGACGCGCGACTCCTGCACGAGGTTTCAGAGAATTTAAGATACGCAATAATCCAAATTCCAATATCTGGGTGAGAAAGTGGGATCCTAAAATTTTATTGTCTCCTCCTCAACCAGTCGGAAATCGGCTTCAGAACCCTCTCGGAGGGCAATGGCTAAATTTCGAAGGTAAATTTATTCTCTATTGTGGTTTGCCAAGAAGAGGTGCTAAATACTTTAAAGAGAATCTTGTGAAGGAAGTCGAAAAAAACAAGTCTGATTTATTTGGGGGCGCTGATGTTTACTTTCTCCGCCGTGTAGAACTCCCTCTGCGTGTCCTTAATCAATGCAAGGTACTAAAGGCCTTATGAATATTCCAGAAATTGAAAACTCAGAAACCTCGGATGCAGCCGTCTGTTTACCTGAAATTTATTAACACGAAGGGGCCCTTCTGCTCAATACGTCCCACTTCAACGTAACAATGTTTGAGGAAACCAGACGTTCAGCCGGTTTGCACGCGACATCAAAGAGCCTTGACGCCGTCGGATATTGACTTTTCCTCCTTTCGCACTTCGTTCATTATTTCACACACTAGCGTGCACATATCTAATTAGATAAAATAGTTAACAATGCTATTAACTCACGAGGAATTAGCAGAAAATCTTGTTGCTAATTAAACTCATTCTACTCCCAAAGAGAATTTAAGTCGGGCTCTGTGGAAATGGTTATGAGGCGCACACCGTGTGCCTGAGCGTGACTTACAAGTGTTCAAACGGCTTCTGCGAGAGCCAAAAGGTTAGAGCGGTGAAGCGATGTGAAGTAAGGCAGAGCACGACGGAAGGTAACAGGAAGCATTGCTAGACGCGAAGGGAGGAGAGGGATAGAAGTACGAGATCCAACGTCAAGAAGAAAGCGGGACGCTACACAACGTACGGATCGCACCGCAAGTGGCGGGAGCGTGGAGAGAGCAATTCCAGAAAAGAATGAGCGAAGAGAACAGTCCTGTTGGGTCGAGACAGAAGAGAGATTCCCCTCACAAAGGCGAAACTCGCGCTGCTGCCGGCCCGCCGCGCGGCCGCTTTTGTGACGTGTAAATTCACTTCCCCGGATAGGGTTCTTTTGATGCGGCACGGTGGCACGCGCCAAAGGGCTCGCGATACGCGGCCGCCGCCGCCACTGCCCTATCGCCCTCCGCACCCCTTGCTCCTCGCCACGCACCGCGCCACTTCGCTACTCCACTCCACGCCTCCACTCCACGCCTCCACTCCCCGCCTCCACTCCACGCCTCCACTCCACGCCTCCACTCCACGCTTCGCTACTCGTATACAACGCACCTTTTCCACTTTCATTTCTTCCCCTTCGCTGTGTACCCGTTCCCACCACGTCCTACTCATCCTTCCATTTCCCACGACTCTGCCCCATTCACGGACTATCCTCTACCGCCGAGCACCATTCCACGTCTCCCCCATTTGCGCCACTCTGCTATTTCGTGATTCCGATCCTTGTCTACTACGAAACCCTCGTTTTTTATTTTCACGTCTTCCTCTCGGCAATGCCCCGCTTCAAATCATCCCACTCACTTCTCTCCACCTTTCCCGCGACTCGACACCATTCACGCGCCTTCCTCCTCCATGCACCATTCTTCATCGTGGTAGTAGAAGTAAAGCCGGCTGTCCCTTCTTAGTAGATTAGTAAATCTGCATGTAAAATATCAAGTCCAAGTTAAACTTCTGAGCAAATTCGCCTGTTAGCATTCCAAATTCGCATCACCTGTTTCGTCGCCCAAAAAATACCTCTTTTTTCCGCTAGTTGGTGAAAGGAATGATGCAAAATTTGAGTGGTCAGAGGGAAGAGAAGGTTTCATGGCCTGAGTCTCGCCACGTAAAATAAGGCATCAAATCAAATCCAATCTCCTCCGCTACTCCACTTCACTGTCTCCTTCAATCACTCATCTCCAACGCACCCTTCCCTATTTCACTCTCCGCAATATCCTCGTTTCCCCCACGCCCCATTCAGTCCACCCCCACCTTTCCTACGACTACACCCAAATAACATCCCAACCTTCTCCATACCTCCTCCTCCATCGTGACTTCGCAATGTGAATATGTGTGGATTTGTCCTGAATAATATTTTCTCTCTGAACTCACTTTCATATTGATGTTTTGAAAAAATTAAATACTCACTTGAAACATCTCAGATAATCTTAAATTATTAAAACATTTAAGTTAAATACCAATGTATAAATTTGAACTTAACATATATGGATCAACTAGGAAGGTAACATTGTATCTGCATCAACTTGGTTCAAAGTCGTAAATGAAAAAGGTTTCGAATTTTAAACAAACAATAAGAATAGTTATCTATTATCATAGACATATTCCTGACATGATATGAAAAAGAAGTTCAGGTATTAAAGAAAAAACAAAAACTGAAACTTTTTTGTTTAGGAAAGGTTTTTTTAGCTACATTGTAAAAAGTTATACATTTTCAATGGGAATTACGTGGGAATGTAATCATTAGTAAGAAAGATTTTGTGTAGATGCATATATTGCAAAATATTTGTATTTAAAAGTCCAACCCTAACTTAAAAATAATTTGCGGAGTACCACATTAGTGGCAATTACCCACTGTATACATCTAGCTAGTAAAAGAAATGTGACCTAACGGTAAATATTCGAATTTATAATAATGTTTATACGAAATATACACGGTGAAAAATTGCAAATTATGGGATTAGAATACATACGATATGCAGGAAACGTGTGTTGTTCTGTAATTCCATTTGGGTGGATAATTTATATACCTGGTATATTTTTTTGAGATTTCGGCCCTTGGGCATGTAATAAAATTCAATCACTTTAACCCTACCGTTTCTAATAATTAATGATGATGAAACTGCTGGTAGAAGAAAGAACTAAGAGTAACAAAGAGACATGCCCAGTGTTAAACCGAGAATAAAATGAAACCAGAAGTTATAACGAAGTAACAAACCTGCAAACGAAAAAAAAGCCGCGAACTGTATAAGTGTACAATTCTTAAACACAATTCTCGTAATTAGCTCAACGAATCAAGACAAATTTGTGCGACAAGTTTTCAATTCACAAGTAGACCAACAATGGACACGCGAGCGCGCTCCAAACGTTTGCCAGCGAACACACGAATTCGGCGACGCGACGCGGGCTCTTAAAAAGTCATGGGCCGTGGTCGGGGTAGCGGAGTCAGCGGGCGGCGGCGCGGCCGGCGGAGGCGAAGGGGGAGGAGGATTGCAAGCGAGGAGAAAAATGGGGGCAGAGGCGGCGGACATAGCCGGGGGCGGCGAGAAGCAGAGGGTGGGGGGAGGGTTGGTGGGACGTGACGTAGGCGGTGGTGGTGGCGGGTTGGGTGGCTGTGGTGGGTACGGTGGTAGGGTGGCAGGGCGGTTTTGGCGGCGATGGCAACGGAGGCGCGGGGGGGGGAGCGAGAGCAGTGGCCGGGGGCGGTGGCGGGTGGCGGGTGGGCGGAGCGGAGGCGGAGGCGGAGGCGGAGGCGGAGGGCGGAGGCGGGGGCTTGGTTGGCCGGTGGCGGTGACGGTGGCGGTGTCGGTGGTCGGTGTCGGGATGGTGGCGGGGGCGGGGCGGAGGCGGAGGCAGTACTGGCAGTAGTGCAGGTGGGTGGTACCAGTGACGATGGCAGGGCTATAGCACATTTGGCGGTGGTGATCGGTGGGTGGTGGCGGTGGTGGTGGCCGGTGGGTGGGCGCAGGAGTGGGGATGGCGGTGGTGGCGGTGGCGGTGGCGGCGGTGGCGGCGGCGGCTGGCAGTGGGGGGGGCGGCGGATATAGTGCTGGCGGGCGCGAGCGGCGCGGGGCCTGGCTGGAGAGGGGCGTGCGCGGTTCGGGGCGGGGCGCGGGCCGCCGGAGTCTGCAAGCGACTCCGCGCCGTGCGATGCAACATTGAAGGTCCAGGAGGTGGGGGCGGCGCAAGACTATGTCCGACACGGCGGCCTGCAGTATTGAGGAAGCAGCCTTGTCGCGCGGTTGGCTGCGCCGCCCCTTTATTCATTAAGGCCGTCCAATTAGCGGCAATGTGCGCCGGCTGACTGCCGCGTGGTCGTCGGGACGAGACGGGAAGGGAGGAGGGGGGAGACGACGTGGCGGTGGTCAAGGATATGCATCACGAGTTGTCGGGGAGGAGAGAAGTTATATTTAGAGCAGGAGAATGTTATATCTGGAGACATGCGAAATGAAGTAAACAAGTGACTCCAAACGGGGTAAATCAGAATTTATCTGGCCAAAGGAATATTGCGGAATAACAAAGTCGTGAAACTACAATAGAGATAATTTGCGGTGTGTAATGAAAGTAGACGATATCGACTAAAAAACGAGGAATAAGCTTGTGCACCTTAAAGTAAGATAATACGTACGGAAAATTTAAAAGATTACAGAAACACTACAACGAAGATTAAATAGATTGAAACACAGGATAAATTAACATAAACTAGTAAAAATTGGATTTTACGATCAGGGGATAAGGAAAAGAAACAGACGAAGTAAACTGATATGTAAAGGTAAATGCAATGTTATTAACGATAGAACAGGTATTGGTTCACTGGATAAGCTAGTTAATAGAGTCCACATAATTTTCTTTACGTTCTTGCATAGCAACCTATATATAGGAAGTAATATACGTAGTATAGAGGAAGTTATGTAACGTTGCAAAAATAGATAAATTTCAATGGAAATTCATGTGTTGGGGGCCCCTCACACTGAAAAAAAAGTTTTTATCCGTCCCTCTGTCTGTCCATCCATGAACGATCAACACTAGCACCTGAACTAATCGCATAATTTTTATTTTCCAAAATGAATATTCCCCGATCGATCTGGCCCGACTGGAAGCCCTGCGATTTGTAAAAAATGTTCTTTAAATATTGAAGGGACTTTACATGAAGCCTCAGAAACATTTTCAAAATTTAAAGTATTACAATATAGACATTTAACAGTTTGCACAGAATTAGTCAAATAATATCATTTTATAAATGACGACAAATTAACAGACTTAATGATCGTAAGCACTAACAATCCATGACATCAACGTCGGCGATAAATGTTGAACATTGGGGCCAAATTCACTCTCGGAGCGATGACGAAGTCAACTAGGCCAAGGGCGGAAGTTAATATAACGCATGATATTGATGATGCAAATCACTCACAAAACCGACTCCACATTCACCACTCACACAGCTTCACCGGTCATGACTCTCTTGTACCCTACCTATTTAACCCCTCCTCCCACGCCAACGCGCCATGAGCGCAACTCACTGGCATCAAGAGGGCCAAAAAGTAGGCTCGGGTGAGTGGGTACTTGAAAATGTGAAATATTTTTTAGAAGACTTAAAAAGAGATTCAATAATAAAAAAGCGTATCATCTACTTATAACAATTAAATTAATGCAAATTTCTACTGCAGTCATTTGTGTATATGCGGATGCATGCACCAAGTACAAGACAATGTGAAGTAGGTAATAATTCACTTACGTTTTCATAAAATTTGTGAAGAAGAAGTTTTGTTGATATGTAATTTTTATCGCCCCTCTTATCATTTAAATTAATAACTGAAATTCAATAAAACCTCAAACATTAATGGAAATAAAATATACTTATAAATTGATATCTATCAAGAGTAAATTCTGCGGTATTTTCACGAACAAGCAATCCAAAGATTAAAAAAATCTGTTTACTCCCCGCCCGGAAACAGAAAATTAATAAATACAAGTTAATTTCAATAAAAACACAAATACGAAACCAATAAAAGAATATCAATCCCATATGTTTTCTATTCAACATATCCATCCTCTAGGAATTTCCAATTAATCAGGATGAGCGGCGAAATGTTTGGTTTTGTATATGAAGTATTGTTTATAAAGTAACTCACTAAAATAAATGAACATATTTTTTCTATATATACGCTATTTTAAAGATCAATATAAAAACATATAGTTTTTCATTCGACCAACAAAAGACCACAAAACTAAAGTGTGTGTTTCCTTGGGGTGATACTACATCCTCTTAAGTATATTGCAGTAGAAGATGACGGTATATTCTTCGGTTCACAAGAAAAGTAACACATCTAAAAAATCATTTTTAAGTTAAATGAAAAAAATATATATTTAAAACAATACTTTAACTTGCAAAAGCTTACTAAAGATAGATTATATGACAACCGGAACATAAAGTAAAGCACTGTTACAATAAACTAAAGACCTAAAAAAGGGCAATTTCTTAAACCTGCACTTTTTTGTACACCACAGCCGATACGTCAAATATTGTTTACAAGCCATCGCTGACTGCCATCACACAAAATACTGTAGGCTACTAAGTGCTACTTCTTCCCGAATTATTTCTCTCACACCGACACGGAACATAACAGTCTCTATCCGCGGAATCAATTAAAACTGAGACCTTGCAAAGCTAAAGAAGCTAAGTACCAATAATTTTGAAACAAAGGTTTTGTCATCTAAATGTTATATAAATCTGTGATAATACTCAGTAAAAGAGTGATCCTCCAAGCACCTTCCAAGTACTTGTAACATCTACTTAGTCATGGCTCTGGTTGTATGTCAAGAATACGAATTAATACAGTTCTTATTGAATTTCCGAAAAAAAACTTATTTGCACTTGGCTCTCTTGGCGTTGCAATGCCTCAATTGTTGACAACAGTGACGGAAGGGGAATACAAGTATGTATATGATATTGGGCCGTTTGCGTCTCTACGCCTCTCGGGCGCTCCGCAAGCTTCTGTCAGAAACAGTGACCCGCCCGTACTAACATTTTCAAAACTAATTCTTTCTAGTTTTACTGCCATTATTTTATAACAATTTAGCGTTTAAAACAAACTTCTTTTTTCTCGACAATACAGTCTTTCAAGGGTTCTAGTAGTACATACGATTCTTCTGTAACCTCATTCGTAATATTAGTTAATAATATTTTTGGAGTAGCCTTCCATATGGTGTGAGTAGTTTGAACTCCGACTTAATTGTTGATTACTACGATTGTTTATTTGAAAGGGGAAGGTAAATGCTCATGTTAGAGGAACTGAGCTGATTTCGCATTTACAAACATTTTAATACTGTTTTTTAATGTTCGCCAATTTCCGATTTTTCATATCATTAGGATTGCACAAAAACAACAAGAACGACCTCTAATACAAGTAAACATAACTTAAATAAATCTTACTGTGGCAAATATTTTTCAGAAACATACCTGATATTTCATGGACGTAAAAAACCCTTTTGAACTTTCAGCCATTGCCAATTCCACGTCGTAATGCAGGCGATCTCACTTTTTGTGGGCAAGACAGCGTGGATATATTACACCGTATACACAATCGAGTATGTTTACTTACGTATTTTAGGAGTAAGGTAAATTATGCTTTAAAAGGTTACAGGCAATCAAAAATAATTTCAACGGCATTCATTTTGTTTTGTTCCTGTTTTATATAACATTCGATTTAACTGTTACGATTAGAAAAAAAGGTAAATGTACACTAACCCACGTTAATTTTTTTAATGTTCAATTCTAGTTAATTTTAAAAGTAAACATTCAGCAATAATCACTCTAAAGTACAAGCTAACTGTAAAACAGTTAATAAACAAATTTTACAGAGAACTGTTTTAACGGTATATTCTCGGCCTGGTGTAGTCAAGTAAGGAGCCACGAACACACTGCCCTCTTTCCTAGCAAATGATATGTCACGGTCGAATAAGCGAAGGCAGCAGCCAATCAGAGAGAATGTCGTCACAAGCGCTGAATTGCGTCACAAGAAACTTTCTTCGCAAAGGAAAGAAGCATTACTTATTCAGTCTCAAACCAGCTGGAGACGAGTTGTCAGTTGGGCCAAGACGGCGATTGACATGTGAAAGTGTTAAATTGGTGCAGAGTTCGGAAGTTGGCTAGCTACGAGCAATGATGTGGATTGGGATAATATTTCTTTGCGTTTTGAGGTGCGTCGAGTCAAATACCGATGTAATTAGTCGTGAAATTTTAGCTCAAAAATGTTGTGCCCATGGAGAATATTTGATGTTTGATAACAACGGTGTAGGCACTTGCACACGTCTAGAAGGGGTTACAGTGACAAAGGAACAGTACGAACGGGTTGATGACATTTTGAACAGAGACCCCGTAGAGCCTACTGACTTTGAGTGGCTACCACATGATTTTCGCACAAGAGAAACTAATAAAATGTGGGTGAAATATTCGCAAAAAAATCTCTGCCCTCGGAAGCAAGCCCTGTTCATTAGCATCAGTGACAAACACCTTTATCGCATTGGGCAGAAAGGATCTCTTATCTTCATGGCCGCAACGACAGGAGGTCAAATCGTAGAGATACCCTTCTCAAACCGTGAATACTGTATTGATAAATCTAGAGGTTTGAAGAGCCCACATGTGTTCATGATTTGTCCGTGCGAGAGAACTAGATGCATCCCGAAATGCTGCGCCAACGATTGGGTTCTTCGTTTCAGAGGATCCGACCCTGAGTGCAAAATGTACAAAGATTCCAAATGGAAGCCCCTCCCCAACAACTTGAAATTAGCGGAAGAAACTACCTACGCAGTTTTGGACGGGCAACTCCCGAAGTGCAAATACCGCGTAGGGCGCAAAGACGAGATGAACTGGCCGCACAACTACGTGCGTTCGTGGTTCTCTGCCTCGAAAGGCCGCGTTTTCGAGGACAAGGACGCGTGTACAGACTTCCTGTGGCAGGACACAGCCCCGCTCACGCACACGGTTGCATCGTGCTCCAGGACGCCCGAGGTCAAAGTTTTCTTAAACCGCAGAGCCGCCTTGCACATAATATCCACCCTCCTGTTGGGGATCTCGATCGTAGCGTTAGTTCATCATAAAGTGCGGTGTTCGGTCCATTTACTTTCGCTAGGCTCCTATTTCTTTTCGCTTTTTTTCTACCACATTCTTCTCGTCAGTACAATGTGGCTTGAAGAACCACTTTTTCCTTGCAGCACCATAGGTGAGTTGAGTTTTCCAACAGTAATTTTTACGAAATGATGATAAATTCTAGTAAACTTTCATCATTTTGGAAATAATGCATTCTACTAAATAAGATTTTAAAGATAAACGAAGAATATAACCTTATCGCATACTTGGACAGTTTTAAAGACGCTTGATGTTTACAAAATTTTAAATTCCAAAAGTCGTTAAAAGCGGAAAACAGCTGCAATAAAATGAACGTCAATTGTTAAAGAAAACATTAGACCGTTCTGGTATTTCAGATCTATTACATCGCTTTAAAACTAATACATTTCGTTTTGTGATAGGTTCCTTTATGTATTACTTCACGTTGAGTTCGGCGACATGGCTGAGCATCGCTTCATTTAACATCGCACTAAATTCGAGGTAAGAATTTGCGTTCTTGTTCGTTCTATTGATTAAATTTACAATTCACGATACTTCAAGAATATAACAATCCCAAAATGTTTAAAAGAGATATTCTTCGCAATGATCCTGTAAAAAACATCAATGATCTTGTCGTAGGAAACTAATTAACGCTTTACCTGAAGATCAGCGGGCGAGATACGAGCGCATCCTCTGCTGCTTCTACAGTTTGTACGCGTGGGGCGTACCTGCCATCTTCCTTGCATTTACATACTTAGTTCGGGGCCCTCCTGAAATACCGCAGGATACCCCGCTGCCTACTGTCAGTGTCACGAGAACGTGCCCTGATGTTGCAGGTTGGGAAACATAACTCAACGTTTGTTTTGTTAATTCATTTAATTTTAAATGTTAACACGCTTTATGTACTTATCAAAATATTTTAAACTTGTATTAATTGTACGAAATAATTTTGCCAGATTCTATTTTTCGTGCTTTAATTTAATTACTTTTTGTATTCTTAACAGGAAATGTCGTAAAATCCGACATGTTTATATATTTTTCGGCCCCACTGACCTTGATGCTGATTTTCGTCACTCTTCTGTTTACTACAACAGCCGTGCAAATGAGACTATTGCGCGAAAGGACCTTCATACTTCAAAGACCTGAAAATCCGGCGGATACAGGTTTCTATGTAAAATGGAGGCAAGTTGACATTCTCATTTCGTGCTGTTTTTTTTTGTCAATTTTAACTAAAGTCTAAAACTGTTTAAGGAGACTGTTTCAATTAAGGTTTGAGACGCTTAATACACGGATTGTAAAAATTTGAAACTTAGTCATGAACGATCAAGGATTTGACCTGTGATGTGACTATACTTGCTAACGAAGGAGAGACGCGGGTTCGTACTGACTTGAAAATTAAAAATGTTCCTGCAGTAGTAGCAAATTCTGCGTAATGCTAAATTTCAATAAACGTAGGATTCATCAATATATATAGTTGAAAAAATCCTTTCAAGTATTAGGAAACGATAAAGATTTGGATTTTTTTTGGTAGATCTTGTCAAATAAAGAATTTTTGGAAGACTTTAAATTGTATTCTTTCCAAATAGTCATTTCAAAATGCAGTTAATATTTAAGCTTCGATCTTGTGCTCAGAAAAAAGTATGGACTGTTATAACATAAAATTTGTGTAATACAGTTTCTTTAATGCCATGCGTAAAACGTGAAACAGTGGACTTGTGCTCGTAGTACTAAAATTTAAATTCTTAAACACTCTTTTCCTTTTCACAGAACTATAATTTATCTCAAAATAATGTTGATGGTGATGATGCTGGAGTTCGCCTTGGAGTTAATAGAATGGGCGAGTACAGACACATCGAGCTACGTATTCGAAATCATCACAGACTTTCTGGATCTAATGCGAGCCGCTGGAATCTTCACATATTGGGGATCGAGGTTCTTCTGGAAAATTATTCAACTTGTTTGGGGTCTTCCAGACGTTTCAGCTTCGCAGCAGCCACCAGAGGGCGACTCAGCGCAACAAATTGGCAAGTATAGCGAGAAATTATATCAGATTCTAAAATTATACCTTCTCCCGATTTGAATATAGACTTCATTACCTCATTTTCACAATTCAATTAAGCTTTTAACAGAAACTATCTTGTACGCAGAAGTGCAATTATGGAAATGCAATGTGCTTAAAAATTGCAGTGAAGAGTGTATTCTTTTCAGAACATCATTGAACCGTTTGTGTTGAAGTATGTGGGAAAACGTGAATTGAAAACGCATATTCTTATAAATATTTTCTACTGTTTTGTCATGAATATGGTGGTGTTCGTCATGGTTAGACGCAAATTAATAGCGTATTTAACAACTGAACAGCTCCTCGAATGTCCTAAAACTAATAAGCATTTGCTCCATAATTGTTGTTCCAAAAAATAACAAAAAATGAAATAAGTTACTAAATATGAGGAATGAAAGACATCATAGAGTAAAACAGTGCTGTTGAAAATTTCCTGCAAATATTGAATTCCTATAAGTGGAAGCGTAAGGTCACAGCTTTATCGCCAACTTGGATGTCCGTGGCAAAGCGTTCAATGAACCCTACAAGTAATAGCTTAACGTAAAGAACAACAATGCTAGGTCGATCTCTTGGTGTAGGGAGTAAAATTTCTCAATCTTGTGTACTATTAGGAATGAAGTCGAATATACTTTATACGTTTAGTGCTAAATAATAAATGAACTTATTTCAAAGTGACCTAAACAGTTTCATTCTAATTTTCACGTTCAACATATTTTAAGGCTCTCCTTCCTGCTGCTAAATGGTGTTCAAATTTCGCATTTTCACTTGTACGGTACCTATATAAAAACTGTTGAATTCTTGAAGACTTGCATTAGGAGGCTGGATGTGTATGCTAGGACTAAATAAAAAAAAAATTCTAACACAGCATGGAAATAAGCTCTTCATTCAATTGCGTTCATTTGCGTACTCAATTCTTCTCCAGAAGCCGTGACACCTCAGGATGTGCCTGGGTCATCTCAACCTCAAAGGTCGCAGGCGGTGGGTGACGCGGCTTTGAGGTCGGGCTCCGCCACCTCCATGTCCACCCTTCGAAACCCGCTCGCGGTAAGTGCTGGCCCTGACTTTTCCAGAAGCCTACGTAATAAACTTATCATGCGACAGCGCATTAAATATCCTTTCACCAACCTCACGTTATTCACGACGCTTAATTTCATATTAAATCGGTTACAATTGCAACTAGAGACTTTACTAACAAACGTTGCTCGCCTATTTAGATACTTTTTCAAAAGACACTTTTTTCGTCATTCATTACATTGGTGCAACACGCGATTGTAAATTTTCGCTTAACATTATAGTTTTTTTGCAATACATTTAATGGTTCAAATTTTAAAAAATTGGAAGCCTTCAGACTCTTAACATACATGGTATTCTCAAAGAGATGCCTGTATTCGAATTTTTATGCATAACACTTGTGCAAGAAATTATCTTAACATTTCTTATTCGCCTTCATTTTTTTGTTCTTTCAGCTTTCAACAAAACTAATGAAGCTCAATGCTTTATCAAGTTTTTGCTGGGTTGAAAAGCAGGAAAATCGGGCGTTTATTAGTACTCCAAACGTTGATTAGCGCTCTAATAGTCGGACACTTCGAGAAATTCTTTACTCGGGTGAATTAATTTATCAATTA